GTGGAGCCAAGGCAAAAGGATTGCTTAAGGCCAAGAATTCTAGACCAGCCTGGGCAACACAGACCTTGTCTATACAAAAAATTAATGAAAAATATCCAGATGTTGTGGTGGCACCTGTAGTCCCAGCTACTTGGGAGGCTGAGGCTGCATGTTCTCCTGAGCCCAAGATGTTTTAGATTTTGAGGTTGTCATGAGCTGTGATGATGTCACTGCGCTCTAGCCTGGGACTAGAGAGCAAGACCTGGTCTCAAAAAAGAAAAAAAAGTATAAATCGAGTGGTCAGGGGAGAGCTCACCAAGAAAATGAACTGAGAACTAGAAGTGAAGTTCTGTGATCCAACCCAAAGGCATTTTCTGTCAAGGGGCGCTCACCTTAGGCTGCGGGAGCCCCGGCTGTGTTGCAGCCACTCAGCTCTGATGTCGCGGAGCTGAGACAGCCGTGGACAACGTGACTGTTGCTGTGTCCCGTGCGCTCAAGTTTGTTTTACACAACTTGCACCTGTCGTGAAATACTGTCATTCTTTTGATTTTCTTTCCCCCAAATGCTTTAATCATAAAGTTCATCTCTGGCTCGGCGCCTGTGGCTCACGTGGCTAAGGTGCCAGCCACATACACCTAAGTGGCAGGTTCGAATCCAGCTCGGGCCCGCCAAACAACAATGATGGCTGCAACCGAAAAAAATAGCCAGGCGTTGTGGCGGGTGCCTGTGGTCCCAGCAACTTGGGAGGCGGAGGCAGGAGACTCGCTTGAGCCCAGGAGTTGGAGGTTGCTGTGAGCTGTGATGCCACAGCACTCTACCCAGGGGGACAGCTTGAGGCTCTGTCTCAAAAAAATAAAAAAAATAAAAAAAATAAAGTTCATCTCTGGCTGTAGGCCATACAAAGATAATGGGCTGGATTTGGACCACAGGTCATATTTTTTTCTTACCCTCTCCCGCCAGCCTAACAGATACAGTGTTCCTGCAGTTGCCCCTACCGTGTGAATGGGGGTGTGAATGGGGGTGTGAATGGGACTGAATGGGACGGACGGGTAGCCGCCTTCCTGCCGTAGGCCCAACACCTTGGCTGTTGCTTAATAAAGAAAACAATGAAATTACCTCTTTTATCCAGTGTCAGCACTCCTATTAAATGCTAAAGGTCCTACGGTGTTTATTCCTAGGCTGTACTTGCAATGGTGGCTTTTATTTTCGATCCTTCATTGTAATACAGTATTTCTGAAGACATTGTAAGTAGTGATTAAGAATCTTGTCAGATAGCATTGCATTTGGGTGCAAGCTGTAGAAAACTGCGTAGAGTGGCTTGACTTGTTAAGGGTTATTTGCCGACTGCATAAAGGTGCTGGTCAGCGGTGCAAGAAGAGACTGGGTGGCAGCTGCCAAATGTCGTTAAGGACGCAGGCCACCTACCGTCCTTCTGCTCCACCGTCCTCAGCGTGTGTGTGTGTTTTCACATTGGTGAAGTGGCTCCTGCACCTCTAGGACATGTCTGCACTGCTGCAAGGAGGAAGGGAAGGGAGGCCGCAGAGGTGAGCTTGTCTTCTCCTTCACGTGGAGCCTTCCCAAGGGCCAGCGGTGGCCATATGTCATGTGGTCACCTCCAGTTATAGATGAACAAGGTTTTGTAGCTGAGCACATTACTCTTCTAAACCTAACCAGGCTTCTGTATTGAGAAAGCAGGGGGAGATTGGTTACAGGGTAAGTAACTGCCATTGTTTGCTCTCAAGTGTGTTTAAATTAAAACAGGTGAGTTACAGGCGCCTTCCACTCACGGGGAAATGGGCGTAGGTGAAGGCCATGACTCTCGGCCATAATCTGCTTCTCTTCCATTTGCTTTTAGCAAGTTCCTTTTGGTAGTGATTGTAAGGTGCATTTCATTTCAGACAAGTTGCAATGTGGGGAGCATGGTGTGTTATTGCTACTTGAACTCTGGGATTATGCCCAGCACATGACATGCCCTTGACAGCTTCCTGTTGACTTTGTTACCTGGAGCCCCACCCAGCAGGCTGGCGAGTCCTCCCAGGTCCTGCTTCCTGGACTGCCTGTCCCCTGCTCCAAGCCCAGGCTCCCACAGTTCCAGGCCACCTTCACCTCTGCAGATCTTACAAACAGCCGTGGTGGTGTGACTCATCTTCCTTCCTGGAGCTAATGGCACGGACGTCCACTTGAAAACTTCCTTCTCTGGATTAATTTCTCCAACCTTGTTTAATTTGGGTGATTTGCTAGACTTGCAGCAGTTGTCAACCTGTGGGTCATGACCCCTTTGTAACAATGAAAATGCATCACGGCATTAGGAAGGTTGAGAACCACTGTGCTAGAGTATTAGTATTGTTTTGGCTATTTTGTCTTTTCATTTTTTTCCTGAGACTCACTCTGTCCCATGGATAGAGTGTCGTGGTCTCACAGCTCACAGCAACCTTAAACTCTTGGGTTTAAGCACTCCTCCTGCCTCAGCCTCCTGAGTAGCTGGGACTGCAGGTGCCCCCATGATGCCCTGTTAGTTTTTCTATTCTTGGTAGAAATGGGGTCTCACTCTTACTCCCCAAGCTCAGGGGATCCTCCCTCATGGGCCTCCCAGTCATTTCTTTTTGTGATCATCTGCCCTTTCTTCTAAGTGTGAGGAAGTGTGGAGGCCAAAGACTAACAAACTATTTTGAGTTCTGCTCTAGTCACCTTGGGAAAGAAAACTTAGTTTTCATAAAGCGTGACGTCTCTGTGGTAGGAACTGCTATCTCTGCTCGCTCTCTCCCTCAAAATATATTATGTATTTAATCTTTTGCGTATTAACACATTTGTAATGTTAGAAAAATATGTTTCCTCCCCTAGTCTCCCCCCCCCCACCTCTGGACGACCACTTTGTTGGTCCTTCAGGAGTTTTCAAGGAACGATGTAAATGCAAGCAGCACAGCCCTCTCCTTTGTCCTTTTTACGAGGCACAGCATTCAGCTTCTTTGAAACATAAACCTGGTCACATTCCCCCTGCTTCCCTCACTTAAAACAGAGATATTGTCATCCACACTTTGCTCCTAATAGTAGCACGGTGACAGTCATTGCCATTGTGAGCAAGGAACCGTCCTTTGCTTTCTGAACATTGTTGGTGGTGATGATGTGGTTGAATTCTAGCGTGTGATGATGAATTTTCAGTATTGGCCATAGGGAGGAAGGGGTGCTGAGACATGGGGGGCACGTTCAGATACTACTAATGGGAACTGGTGTGGCCTTGTCAGAGCAATGTGTCCTGGGTGGATCAGGAGCCAGAAAAATGTCCCTCCCTTTGTCACTGGGATTTGATTCATGGAGCTTGGCCCTATAGTATGAGACAACAGTTACAGATGCTGCTGTGGGCACCCAAATGCGTCCCCCCCCCCCGAATTCAGAGAAACAATAAAATCTATCTTTCACGGTCTTAAGGGGAAATTAGGTAGGATAGATGATGCTTTTGGGGGAAGGAAAACTTTCAAAATAATACAGCTACATTTCTGAAATTGTTTATTAGTAAGGGACAAAAAGTTAACACTCTCAGAAATGAGCAGTGGCTCAGTTCAGGAAATTGAGATGATGCCACTGTGAATTTGCCTGTCTGATCATACAGTGTTCTTGAAGATGGCCTATTTTTCTAGTTTTTTATTTCTGCCCTTAATCACCACACCACTGTGTCAGTCATTCAGAGACCTTAGTCCAGTGACCAGAATCTCTTTGCTCACAGCATATGACACCTGTCATCGAGGCTTGAGGGGGCGTTTGTCGGAGCAGCTTGCTGCTCGCTGGAGGTGATCAGCTGTGAGAGCATGCTCTTTAGGTGTCCGGTTTTATGCGGAGAGGTCGTACTGGCCTTTCAGAGTGCATCGTACCTCTGGCCATTATAAAATTCACTTCACCATGTAAGTCTGTTCTTCACACAGGTTTCCCAGGATCACTCAGAAAAGGCCAGCTTGCCCCCATGTTTTATGTGCTGTCGGACGTGGACTCCAGCAGTCCCTCCTCAGCTGCATGGTCCCTTTCAGTGGTTTCAGTTGTCTGTGGTCAACCACGGGTCTGAAAATACTAAGTCGAAAACTCCAGAAATAAACATTTCTTAAGTTTTAAATTGACCATCCTTCTGAGTAGCATGGTGAAATCTCCTGCCATCCCGCTGTGTCCTTTCCAGAATGGGAATCATCCTTTTGTCCAGAATTACCCATCCCGTATCTGCCACTGCCTCTTAGTCACTGTTGGTCTCTCAGCAGCCATCAGGGTTGTGTACGGTGAGGCTCGGCCCTGCCGTGGTTTCAGGCATCTGCTGGGGGCCTGGGAACACGTTTATCCTGCATAAGAGGGGTCTGCTGTGTCCTCCTCTCATCTGAAGTAGGTGATATATTAAGCAGGTGGAACGTTCTGGAAACGTGCACATGTGTTTGCAGCTCCTTAGAGCACACTGACCCCTAGCGACTGAGGAAGGATGGGGAGGGTTGAGAAGCAGAGTTGACGTAAGATGGCCCTCTGCTCACCTTGGAGGTGGAGAACGCTTTCCTCTGGTGAATTGAGGAAAGGACGCTTTCGTGACAGTGGCTGCAGCTGGACAGTGTCTGAAAGAGGCTGTGGAGGGGAACAGACACGTTGCTGCTGCTCACACGATCAATGAAATGTCCCATCTCAGATGGACTTGCCATGGTTCTCAGAGCGTCTTGGGTAGCAGGCCTGATTTCCTGACTGTAAATGTCAACTTGTGAGGGTGAGGGTGGGTCATGGGTAGGAGGAACAGTAACTGTGGCCCCTGAGAACCAGCGTCCATTCCTTGCAGGGGTCTGAGTCAGGCCTCAGGTTCAGTGGCACAATCACTGTGTCAGGACTGGCTCAGTTCTCAGCTAACGTCCAGCCAGTGGCCAGTGCAGGACGCCTACGGAAATCACCTCTTTCTTTGTATGAGTGACCTCTAATAACAAGAAGCCAAATCTAGTTCAATTTGGAAACATGTACGTATCGTTCCGACGAACGTTTCTCCTTATTTGTCTGTCTTCTCTCTTTAGATAAAGAAGAAGCAGCAGGATGTGGTTAGATTTCTGGAGGCTAACAAGATAGAGTTTGAGGAGGTGGATATCACCATGTCAGAAGAACAGAGGCAATGGATGTACAAAAACGTCCCTCCAGAAAAGAAGCCTGCGCAGGGCAACCCTCTGCCACCTCAGATATTTAACGGGGACCGGTACTGTGGCGTAAGTGGCTGGATTGTTACCACACTGTTCCTTTTTGTTGCTCAAAACACATGGTCACAGAGAGCGTGTAGTAGTGTCTGCTCAGTGAGGACTGTGGCCTGCTCACCCAGTACCCCCTCAGGTCCACAGTCTAACAGAGGGTGAAGCTGGGTAGGAACACGAGTCAAGGTCACAGGCTGTGTGCATGGCTGAGTGGCTGTGTGGTGTATGAACACAGTGGGTGAGAGTCTGGAGTATCCCTGTCTCTTTCTTTACTTTGGAAAAAGAAGTAGGAAGGGAAGCTGTATGTATATGAGGGCGTGTGTGTGTGTGTGTGTGTGTGTGTGTGTGTGTTGTGTTCTAAATCTTGAGGCGTATTTTTTGATTAATACATTTTGGAGAGCAGAGTGGTCGGGGTAATTATTTTTGAATCTTTATTCCTCCATGATATAAATAACTGCTAATCATTGAATATAAGCCAAAGTTCCATTTTTTATGAGAATGAGCCCAAGGGATCATTATGAACATCTACACGTGTGTACATCACATGAACACACATTGGGTACGTATGTGTATATAGGTAGCTGTCTGCTATGGGTAGCATGTCTGTTTATTGATCTACCTACCTTCATAATCTTATGCTTAACACGAAAAATGAGAAACTTCTTTGTAATTAGTAAGTCAGGACTTGCCTTAAGTCCCCAAGGCAGTATTTATTTTGAGACCTGTACTAACGTTCTTTAAGGATGACTTAGGGAGAAAGAGCTACAGTGCTGAAGAGCCTGAGATGAGTAGAGAGCTGGGTTGTCATTAGGGTACTGGAGAGGGACAAAGGGCCCCCGCAGCTCCAGAGAAAACAGCTCCCTTCCCCATGTGCCTCAGGGAGAATGAGAAGCTGGACATAAGGCCATGAGCAGAGTGTACGTAGACTTCTTACCTGTATCATCACGAACACGGCACTGGACACAGCTTGTGAGTGTAGCACTGGCTTATGTGGGTTGCGACACCTTTGGGAAATTACTTATTCTCTTTGAAACTCAGATTTCTCATCTTTAAGGGATAGTAATATCTGTCACATAAGATGTTTATGACTGTTTCTAAGGCATTTCTTAAGTACATTATTATATAAAAATAAAGGTTGTTATGTTTGTGGGTTTCTTTTATACCATGATCTCATATTTTATTGGGGGGACCATTTAGTAACAAAAGGTATATCCTATTCATGATTATAGAGGATAGAAAATGTTCCTGTAAACCAAAATTGAAAATGTTTATAAACTGTACAGTTCAAACTGAAGTAAAGCTCAAAGTCAAATAGTGTTGGAAGGCTTAAAACAAAAATCCAGCCGTTTCCGGTCCCTCTAGACTTTGAGGGTACAAAAATGTCTTTTCTTCTGGTTTCATGGCTGAGTGGTAGTTTCTGGGCATAGAATTCTCGGTTGGAAAGAATTTTGATGCTACTGCTTCATTATTCTCCTGGTTTCCTGTACTGCAGCTGAGATATTTAATGCCGTTTGTCTTGATCTGTTATATGTTTATGTCAGTAGATTTTTAAGATCTCTTAGACATAGTGTATTCTCAGATATTTTTCGTGAATTACCATGATGTGAGCTATTTTCATTCATTGTCCTGAGTGTTCAGTGTGCCTTCTGATCTACGAAATTGTATGGTTGAGTCATTAAATGTGTTCCATTATTTTTCTTAAAGATTTTTTCCCTACTTTTTTCCTTATTCCATTTCTCTTTTGAGTGCCTATTAATCTGGATATTGGATTTCTTACATTGATTTCCAACATTGTCATCTTTTTTTTTTTTGTATTGCCTACCTTTTTGATTTTGTTCTTTCTGGAAGATTTTAAAACTTTACCTCTTAATCCTTTCCTTGAACTTATGTCATCTTTTTTCCTCCCCTTTCTTGCTCTGATTTTTTTCTCTTTAACAATGTTTTGTTTTTATGATACGAATGCAAGGTATTATGAATAACTCACTAAAGGTACATAATTTCTTTTACATTTCTTTTATTAACAGTATTGGCCCTGTTTCCACTGAATTCTAGTTTGTTTGCTTTTTACTTTGTTTGGTGAGCTTTCTCCTTAGATGTATGGTGATCTCTGTTTTTGAAGAGATGAGATGCGAAGCTGCTGGAAGCCTGAGACTGAAGGCAGGTTTTGCTGTTGGACAGCCAGGTTGCCTGTTGGCTTTCCTGTTGCAGAGATCAACAGTAGTATCTGAAGGCCTTTCTTCAGATGATGGTTTAACTTTTCTAGAGACCGGCCTTTCAGTCTCTTGCTTTGGGACTCTCAGCCTGACCGTTGGCCTGTGGGACCTAGATAGAGAGTGAGGAAACTGGGTGGGGGGTGGGGTGGGAGGTGGGTCCTGTCTTTATCAGGCACATTTTCACTTATTCCTGTTTCCCCTACTCTCTTCTGTGCCCACATTTGTAAGTTTTTCGCTTCCTTGAAGCCATGTCTACAAGTAATGTAGCTCCTAGCTCCCTAGGCTGTAACTCAGGCATTCTCAAACTACAGTGTGCAGACCATATGCAGCCTGCCTAGGACATTTATCTGGCCCGCTGGGTATTTTTGCCACCACTGCCTGTCCTGCTTAGCAGCCAACTCATCCCAGGGACCGCAGTCTAGCCCTCCAATGGTCTGAGGGACAGCGAACTGGCCCCCTGTTTAAAAAGTTTGAGAACCCCGTCTAACTGCTGTTTGTGTGGACTTTCAAGCAACCTGTTCTTTGCCCACTTATCCCACCTTTTCGTGGCCTTTCCGGGGCTTGCCACTGGCCTGTTGTAGGTGCTGCGTCTGCTAGCGTGGAGGTCTGGCTGTCCTCTTGTCTCTCAACCCTCTCACTCTCTCTCCACCCACTGGAGATGGAGTCACCCAGGGCTTCAGGTGTCTCCTTGCTTTATCAAACAGTGGATTACGTGGCTTTAAAATCCTTGCTGTTTTCTTGACTTACTAAGAGAAAAGAAGAAGTAGGCATGTCTTTGTTCGGTCATTGTAAAAGCAGACATCTCCAGAGCCTTTGAACAGAGAACAGAATGGAATGTTGTGAAATAAAGTTCACTTTATTCTCCTTATTTTTACCTTGTTATGACTTCGAGATCTCCATATGTCTTTGCTCTATGGGGTTTGTGGAGGTCTTTCAGGTAGACTATCTGGCAGCCAGCTGGAGGCTTATGCCTTGATTAAAGTGTGCTGGAGAGGTGGCATCTTCCAGTTTAAATGTGTACGGTTCCATAGTATTAAATATATTCACATTGCTGTGAAGTAGATCCCGAGAAGGGTTTCATCCCGTGGAACTGAAACTCTGTCCCTATTTAGCAACTTGCCTTTGCCCCCAAGCCCAGTAACCGCTACTCTACTTTATGTATAGGGTCCATAGATTTGATTACTTCAGATTCCTCACAGAAGAGGAATCTTATGGTTTTGTGCTCAGGTAAGCGACTTCTTTCACTTGGCGTAATGTCTTCAGGACTCATCCACGTGGTGAGGTATTAAGACCTCACCCTTCTGAGTCTGTGCAGAGTTCCTTTGGGTGTTTGTTCACCCGGGGATGGTGCCTGGATGGTGCCTCCCACCTTGTGGCTACTGTGACCGGTGCTGCTGTGAACCAGGCTGTGCAGATATCTCTTTGAGACTGCATGCAGGTTTTTTTGATGTATACCTACAAGTGGGATTGCTGATAGCTCTATTTTTAATTTTTTGAGGACGATCCAGTTTTCTGCAGCAGCTGCACCATTTATAATCCTGCCAGCAGTGCACCGTGGTTCCTGTTTCTACACATCCTCACCACCATTTCTTACTTTCTGCTGTTTTTTTTTTTTTTTTCCCAAATAAGTCTGTAAACTTTTGGTTTAAATTCTTTCACTTTTTTAAAAAAATAGCTTTAAATTTTAAAAGTCACATCATTAATCACTGTCTGTACCACTTGGAGCACTGCTTTACTCTCTGTCAAAAACAGATTCCGTGTCATTGTCAACTTACTTTTTAGAGGTTGTGTACTGCTTCCTTGGTGGCTTATTGTAATTCTTCATTTCCGGACCGTGGGCTGTGTTTCCAGCCACCACTTGAAGTAAGCTCATTACTGGCAAGCCGCTCTGAAGAGCACGTTACACTGAGCGCTGTTTAGGAAGCAGGTCCTCACTTCTACCCTTCCTACTGGTCTTCCTGTCCTTAGAGTCTTCTGTCAAACAAAGAAAGTATTTTGAGATATAATGTTACCAAGACATGAGGGATTGTTGTTTGTGGCCCAGAATCAGGGTTCAAGGTCAAGAAGAACACTTGATGAAATGAAAACCAGAACAAGATGGTTGTTACGTGTTTTGCTGGTGGAACTAGAGGTGGGTTTCTCCATGCTGGGTGGTGCCCAGAGTCATGAACAGAGCCTGTCCGTCTGCCCAGAACAGCCATGTGCCTAAGATTCTGAGCACCTCACTGCTGCGGTTGCCCTGGAGAAACCTGGACCAGCTGCTTCCCAGCCGCCTTCCTGACAGTTGAGTGTGCCCTCTGGCAGAGCAGAGCTGGGCGAAAGGATGACCAGAGATTTCAACCTGTGTCGTACTCTTTCTGCAGTCATTTTGTGTTAACAGAACTCTGTTTAGAGTCAGTTAAAAGAAAAGAAAGAAAGCTAAAGTCCAAAATTTTTATCACCCACAGGAGATCGTGCTGTTCCTAAACTGTGGACGTTATTTAGGATTCATGGCAATGTCATCTATGTAATAATTAGTGATTTTCAGTAATTGATGTGATTATTGAAATAGATGTGATCAGTGATTTACTGTGCCGTGAAAATTTTTAAAGATCATTAATTAAATTATTTTTGAAACAAGTTCAAAGCACATAAGTATATTGTTTTTTACTTTTTTTTTTTTCGATCAACATAACTTAAGTGTACCACAGAAGTTTAACTATAGGTTCAAGTGTGCTGTGGGATAAAGACGGTTGAAAACACTGACTTAAGGCAAAGCCCTGAAAATCACCCCCACACCTATTCTCCTCCCTCTCTCACCCAGTT